GTGGTGATACATCTCTGCCACCATTTCTGAATTAACACTTGGAGATAAATGCTTACCTACGCAAGAATGTTCCGCACCAAGCTCCACACTGCCTCCATTGTCTGCAGCCTCCCCCCAAGCAAGAGTGGGAACAAGTTAACCCAGAGAAAGCCCTCCTGACCCAGCCTTGAGAAAACAAAGACACAAGTGGAGGGATTCTGTGGTATTTATTATTAAATGCTTACTCTGAGCACTGAATGTCACTCCTCCTATAAAGGACAGAAAAATGCAATGAACCCAGCTGGTGCGTGGTTTCTGCTGAAACAGCCACCTGGCAGGCATGCTCCAACACAACCAAAGTTCATGACCTTAGCTCAACTACTGTGCAGGAGCTTCTTCCTGCTCATGAATTTTGCAATGCATTGGTTTGTTCAATTGTCGGGGGGTGCAGTCATGTTAGAAATGAAACCAGTAAAAGAATTCTTTGCAAGCATGTCAATAAGCTACATGGCATCTTTCTTAGAAGACTACAGTTCATTTTGCTCACCCACCTATTTCTGAGGAACAGAACTAACTAAAACCTTCAGCTTCAAGTTCTGGACCTATTTCTAGTTGCTCACAATCAGCTTCAGAATCCACGGCCCAGGCTCAACTTTATTCATTAGAAATGACTTCTTAAAAAAAAATTAAGTTGTCTAGCCAGGCATGGTGGCACCTGCCTTTAATCCCAGCACCCTGGAGGCAGAAGCAGACAGATTTCTGAAAGTTCAAGGCCAGCCTGGTGTACATAGTGAGTTCCAGGCCAGGCAGACCTACACAGTAAGACCCTGTCTCAAAACAAAATAGAATAAACCAAATAATAATAGCAAAATAAAAATTAAGTTTTCTGTTTCTGCCACAGAATTATTTTCTCTGGCATTTCTTTATATCAGAAATATCAAATATATATATTAAGAAATCTTTGGTGAGCTAAAAAAGAAAAGCTTATAACACTACAGTAAGCAATTCTTTTAGAAGTAGTACAAAGCAATAATCTAATTTTAACATCTGGAAGATCTAGAAAACACTCTTCTGGTAACACGTGTCTGCCTGACACCTGCTTGGAAAGGACAAATTGGAAGGTGACAAGTTTAAAAGCACATACATTTAGTAAACTGTACATTAACACCTGCTCAGGGTCAAGAGGTGGTTAACATGGAAAAGACAGTGAGAGGGCATTGTTTCATGTCTCTATTTTCCATGTTTTATCTACAGATAATCAGTACGCTTATTAGGTAATTTTCACAAACACTTTGCATTTAAAAGTTCCACAAAGAAACCTCAATAGAAGAATAGCTAAGAAATGGCAGGCAGTGGCCAACTCAAAGGGACGACGAACTCCAATGCCAGCCTTCTCTGTGTATTCTTCCGTGCATTTCAGCATTGGTACCATGGTCATGGATTGTGTATCTGAAATATTTTTAGGGTCACCAAATGCCTTAACAAAGATACTGAGTTCAGTTTAGCTCAAGGACAAGTGGTGACTATCTGTCCCGAACACTGCAAAGCAACAGGCATGGAGATGCGAACAAAACAGCTTCTAGGCTGGGGAAGCCTGAACTCACTAGTGGTGAGGCAGACCATCCAGCAGATCGCTGATTCCCAGCATTAAGTGAAGGATCGAGTTCAGGGCAGAGGGCGTGAAAGGATGGCAAGGTTCTAGAACCCAAAGGGCAGGCTGATGGAGCATTTTCTGTCTGCATGGATGGACACTAGTTAGCAATGGGCAGTTATGTGTGCCCAAGATAGTGACCTCAGCTGGGAGACAGCAGGCCTGGGAGCACCCAAACTCCTGGGTTTTTATCCCCAGTATGATACAGTACCATGTTGGCATTTGTGGGCATCTTAAAAGCAAAGGATTGGGGTACAATCTGAGCCCACAGGATGGGCATAGGAAGGGAATGTGGAGGGACAAGGGCGTCCCATGCGAGGAGCCTGCTTGCTTTATACGCCCAGCAACATCAACTCAGGAGCAGCAAACAACTTGATAAGGAAATGGTGAGAAATGGCAAGAATTTTAAACAAGGAAGCCAACTGTTCTCGAGATGGTCTTTCCAGAAAAATCACAACTGTAGCAATGCTGAAGAGGGAGAAAAGACAAAACGTTGACCTTCACAGAGGTTAAGAAACAGCTATTGTCAAAGCTGATTAAAGTGGCGCACATGAGCGTTTGAACTTAACACTATAGATTCGAAATATAGACTTCAAATTTTTAAACAATTATAGAGCGAATACAGTTTTGAAAAGGTCCTCCCCAACAGAGTTCTGTATTAAATATATAATAATACCATATATAATATTCATCTGGGGCTAACTCTGTTTTGGGTTCTGAAATTCTTTTCTTATATCAATTCACGTAATCATTAACATTCCTTCCAGGTAGGCATTATTAATATTGCTCCTATTTTACAGATAGTAAAACTGAAGCACAGAGAAGTAATGTGATCAATTTTCTGTAGCTGGTAGCTAGTAATACAACAGAATTAGGTACCTGAAGGTAGACAGTATACCTTGCATCACTTCCCCAAAAAAGTTAACTGCAAATGATAATGAATATCCATAGGACTTAATGAATGATTATAAAATGGTAGGGTGATTCAAATTTCACTATCTTGAAAGAAGCGGTCACATATACATCCAATGATGCTAGTTTTTAAAGTACTGAGATTCTAAGAGCAGCACTGAAGAACTGATATTTACTTCACATCCTTGTTGCATTTGATTTCTCAAACACATTAGATGAACTACAAATGCAAGCTTTATATTAAATGTCTACAAAAGAAGGGGAAAGAGAACAGGCAACAGCATGGCCTCATGGGAGGTGGGAAATCATGTTTTTATTATGCATACCCTAGTTTCCAACTGTAATACTCACATTTTTACTGACCTGTACTTGGAAAATACAGCTACAAAACTGAAATTGCCCACTATGAATTTAACACATTATTTTAAGAAATAGCAGTTGTTGTTGTTTTCTCTTTGGGCCCATGCCGGGGTATGAATATAGGGCCGTCTGCATGCTAGACCAGTGCTCTACCCTGAGCTGTACCCACAGTCCTGGAAACACAACATTTTTATCCAATACTTAGGGGCGGATCACTTTTTAAAAGGTTCCATTTCAACCACTTGGTCAGACACTGTTAGTTGTAAAATACCCACTGTGGAAATGGTAAGAGAACTTTGCATAGTCAGATGTTAACAGATAAATGATGGTCAATTCAAAAGTACAAGCACCATACCAAGCTATTAAGGGGCTGAGGCAGGAGAATACCTTGAGCCCAGCAGTTCAGGTCCAGCCAGGGCAACATAATTAGACCCAGGCTGACTACAGTGTGTGTGTGTGTGTGTACACACACACACACGCACTGACAATTAAGTAGATATGTAGGTCAGGATTATTTTATTATTACTAAGTCATGCCATTTCACTAATGATCTAGGCCATATGCCAGGAACAAAAACCATTCCTTAAATCAAAACTCCCAAGGATGCTCATTAGGAAGGGTGTGGGCTGGCAGATACATAATAGATATGAGAGATTTTCAAAGGCTCCCCCTGAGATGGTTTTCTGCAGTCTTAAAGCAGGAAAGCCCCATGCAGTCCACTTTCTCCAAACAACCATTCATAGCCACCCAGGCCAAGTGGCTAGCTCTCAGGGGAGCGGAAAACATTCGGGACATCTCCTGAGTCTAAGACTTTCAATTTCTTCGAACAATAAACTGCGGCAAACTGCTCCTTCTCCACCCTGTGGGAAACCGAGATTTGGTGGTCATTTTCCACAACTTCACAAACATGAATCTGCTCTGAGTCAAAGGCTCCTCTCCCAAAGGCTGGCTCCTTTCTTTCCCTGATAACTATGTAAATTCCCCCTCTCCCAGCCTCAGCTCTTCGCTGAGCAGCCGCCGGGCTATTCAAAGCAGTGTTTCCAGCTCGGTCCAGTGCTCTCATCAAGAATGCATGAATGAATGGGATGCTCGCAGTCTACAACAGCTCAGAGCCCTGCACAATGCCCAAACACACATTTTTCCCACGAAGGCATTTCGAATTCAGCCTACTCCTTTTGACCTGTACTTTGACAAGGTGATCGGTATGGGAATACGCTCAATGTCACTTGTTGCATGCATTAAAATGCTTTCAATAAATATTTGTGACTGCCTAGCTAAACAGAAGCTTGCAGGACAGCTCTGGTCGGCATGGCGAACTCTCCATCCTTCCACCCCCGACTCCCAGGCTCCACTGAAGATTCACTTCGGATTTCTGTTGTCAAACCTTGCAGGGAGAGCAAAGTAGATACAAATACACTGTACATCCGTCCCTACTGCTTATCTGACCCCGAGTGCCCACGATTTAAAAACACGTGGGAAATGAGTCGTTTTGGTGACTCAGGGGCCTGCACAAGAGCATGGTTTAGGGAGCACATGTGTGTCCTGGACATCATATGCGGGTTCCCATTGCCAAAGTCAGACGACCCAGAGGCCGGTTTCCCATCAAAAGTCTCTCCCTGCCAGACCACCCGGAATGCTAGTGGCCCAGAAGAGTCCGCCTGCGTCAGGATCGTGCTTTGCAGCATCGGACAATGAGAGGGGGACTCAGGAGAACTCGGTTCCCATCTATTCCCGGAGCCTGGCATACAGCCCTGCCACCTTGGCAAGTCTTAGCCACTTAGGAACTGAAGGCCAAGGACAGTATCCAGGTTGGGGAATCCAGACACACCACTCTCTCCACCCACCGCACTCCTGGATCGTCAGGTCCTGTAAGAGCTAGAAAGCAGGTGACCCCCATGGAGGCAGAGGAAATCAAAGCCGAAGGCTCTCAAGAGCAGAGCAGCCAGCGTCCTTACCGGTGGCGGACCGGCAGGCTGAGACCCACGTGCTGCCCGCAGCCTGTCCCCCCTGGCTCCTGGATGCGAGCGCCCCCCGCCTCCCCCGGCAGCTCCGAGCGCGCTTTGTCCCGCGCTCCAGCTCACCCGGCAGCCGGGCTCACCTCTCTGCTGGCTATGCACGGTGACCCAAAGCAGCGAGGCCAGGAGCGCGGCCGCCGCGCCACCGCCCGGCATCTTGCTGCGTTCCGCGACCAGGTTGAGACCACGCTAGTCCAGGGCTACGCGCTAGAGTGTGCTCCCACCCTCGGACGTGCGAGCTAGCCCCTCCGACACACCCCCGCCCACCTCGCCGGCCCCGCCCCC